GAGTGTTTGTGTTTGTGCGCGCGTGTGTTTGTGTGTGAGAGTGTGAGTGTATGTGTGAGTGTGTGCGTGTGCGTGTGCGCATGAGTGTGAGTGTGTGTGTGTATGTGTGCACTTTCAAATCTCTCACTTGTTCCCGTCACATGGGCTGTTGATCTGCTGGTCACACAGCGGGCCGGTCCATCCTGCCTCACACTCACAGCTGAAGGAGGATTGTCCGGTAGCATGGCATTGCCCATGAGCGCACACAGTCCGCTGGCAGGGCTGGCAGCCGGGCACCACCCCCTCCTGCAGCAGGAACTGGGTGAGGTCCTGGAGCTGGTCGTTAATGTAGAGGTTTCGGATACAGCCGTGGAAACTAGAGCCGTTCCTCCCGGAGCCCTGGCGCAATGAGGCCAATCCAGACTGCTGAGAAATGAGCCTATTTTCAAAAATAGTGGAGTGTTCCTTTAAGTATTTGGCATTAATAAGGTAATTTAGAAAGTGGCCCAGGGGGCAAATATTGCCCCTTACTGGAAAAGTTCATTTCTGACTCTGTTTGATAGCATACATAACATTAGAATTTTTTATTTTTTTTTATTGATGTGAATTAATTCCAGGGTTAGAAGCAGCACTAACCAATTTTCAAACAGGCGAGTGTGTTTTACGTACCACCAAGATAAAGCGGAGCAGGGCTGGGTCCTGGATCGGGACTGCTGGCAGTGTTGATGGATTTGGGGCTTCCTCCATCAATAGACAGAGACAGAGACTGATCCTTTGCCACCAGCTCCACTACATGAAAACTGCCATCATTTATAGTCTCAACACTAGCGAGAGAGAGAGAGAGCAGAAGTGAACAGTGAGGGTAATACCTGCAGATAGTGCTTAGCTGAGTTATTGACCGTCTTAAATGAGAGCAACTGATTAGACTTCAGAGGACTAAAGGCACGATTTTTCATTACTACAGAAAAAGAAAAAAAAACAAGCTTTTTAGGAGGTCTGTCACCCTAACCCTTTGCCAATTATGCTTTAATTTCTGTGAAAATGAAAACATCAACCAAAGCTAAACTTCAGTTTAATGTTCCACTGTTGCGTCCACATTAAAATATACAAAGTAAAATTAAAATCTAACGTATATCACTCTGTAAATAAATAATGATTATTTTAATGGCTTTGAAATTAAACCATCATACATACAGGAACTATGAAAATATAATAATATGGAAATGTGCAAGTTACTGTAAGCTATGTTTAAAATGCAACACTAAATTTGATACCATAAGTAATACTATATGTAACATTATTTTTACAATATATTACTTTAATTATACGTTTAATATTATTTTTGTCTTTATCACTTTTTATCATTTAAATGCATCCTTGCTGAATTTTTTTTTTAATTTTAACTTTTTAACAGTAGTGTGTATATCAAGTTCGCAGTAAATATAAATGAGCTTAATTGAAAAAAGAAAACGGATATGTCCTGATTTAGATGTAGCTTATTTTAAAATGGATAGTTTCAACTCTGAATTCTGATTGGATGAGCCATCTTCAGTGCTGTAAAAGTGTGTCCCCAGTATAAACGTGTGTGTACCTGTAGATGGCAGATGGGGGGTAGGATCCGGAGTCATAACTGACTCTCAGTCGTCCTCTGTAGAGCTCCACTGCAATGTGTTCATTGTCTCCTTTATACAGCAACACTCCGTTGTCCTCATCTGTGGCGATCTATGACATGCATACAGAGCACATGAGTGCATCTTCAGTGAAGAATTAGCTCGATCTCTCTCTCTCTATATCTCTCTTGCTCAAGCAGAGTGCTCTTTAAACGTGTGCTGTACCTGTAGTGATATATTGGCTTGTTCTGTAATGAGGTTGGAGGGAATCTGCAGGAACGATTCTCTATTGATGAAGTTGACGCTGACCAGCTTCTCACAGTGCACGCCCTCGTATCCAGGGAGACACTGACACACAGGATCCATGTCCTTGACAACACACTGTGCACCATTGGCACAGTCATAGTGGTCACACGGACTTGTTCTCGGCAGGACCATCGGAGGGGAGAACTCGCAGAACAACCCACTACACACACACACACACACACACACACACACACAGTGAGAGCTGTATTTCACATGGTGATCTCTGATGAATGTAGTGTGCTCACCTGTACTCTTCTGGACACACACATGTGTAGCCATTCACTGCATCAGTACACTGAGCTCCGTTTTTACACTTATTATCTGCACAATCATCAAAATCCACCTCACAGTGCTCCCCGGTGTAACCTGGAGTACACTCACACCTGCACAAACACACAAAATCACCACATTTAACACTTAAAACTCATATTGTCACCTTTAACTCCGATAAATATCTTTTTTGTCCATGAAATTTCTTGACAAGCACAGTTCTCTTTCCCTCTGTATACAGACATTTTTATTATTAGAACATTTTACAACAGCTAATAGCTTTATTTACGTCACAGACATGAATCGTAATTTCATCCTGGGGTACAAGGACCCCCAGTGGGCCGAAAGAAGGTGCAAGTCGAAAAGTGAAGAAAAAATTTTAACAATAAGAAAAAATATCTCTCTTCCTCCTCAACATTCAAGAACAGTTTGCGCTTTTATGTTTGCTCACTGAGGGTTGTATATCATTCATTTCTGTAAAACTGCTTTGAAACTTTTTTTAAAATGATATTTCAAATGATTTATTTTCAGCTTTACACTTCAAACACATTAATAGTGAGTAAAAAACTGGCTTAATACAAAAAAAAAATTCTACATTTTTTTTTTTTTAAGAAGCCATTAAATAATAATTATTGAATTTACAAAAGCTACATAATATATATATATATATTTATATATATATATATAGTTAAAATATACAGTATATTTAGTCAAGGGTGCCATATTTGAGGGCATAACATTTTTTTAAAACGCCTGCACTAGCATATATATGCCTCAAAGTGAATATATGTGGACTAAATACTTAAATTAAACGAGTCAAAATGCAGAAGTCATATGTTAAAAAAACTAAACAAAAAACCTTTCTTTATCAACTTAAGTTCCATTTAGGTGTGGAGTCTAAATATGTTGTAGGTTCATGCTGCTTCTTTTTTTCATAATAATAATATTTATGAACAGTGAAATCTACTGTGTTCTGAGATTAGACTTCTCTAATTACAAAAGTTTAAGTTACTTAAACCACTGAATTTCTTTTTTTATAACATAAATCATCACATAAATCATCATTCCAACGTATCACATCCTATCATCTTTAAAACATCCCCCTCCAACTCATTTTTATAGTGAACCCAACGGGAGAGCTGTAATGGAATATCAGAACACAAACACAGAGCAGAACCTCAGAGACTCCAGCTGCATTCCACACAGATCCAGTGTTGTGTTAACATCTGCACCAATGGGCATAAAAACACACAAATGAACTTATGTGGTCTGCTGCTCACACATATCAGCAGAGAAACACACACACACACACACACACACACACACACACACACACCTGATGGTTTCTAACACAGTGATTGTTCTGGTGTGGTGGAGAGAGGAATGAAATTAAAGTTTAGATGAGAGAGGGAGAGAGGGAGAGGGGGAGAGAGAGAGAGAGGGAGAGAGAGAGG